AACTAGGTCTCTTGAACATATTGAGCATCCTCTGGGTAACCAGAAAACCACCACCAATATTAACGGCAGAGACAAGAGTTGCTAGAGCAGCCATGCTTTGTGGACCAGTAGATGGTAGAATTCCTCCACCCATGAGCATCAAACCACCGACAGCGGTGATTCCGGAGATTGCATTTGTCACAGACATGAGGGGAGAATGTAGGGCAGGAGTGACGCCCCAGACCGTGTGGTAACCTGTTTAAATATAATTTAGGACATTACAACTGCTGAAGAAATTTAGGAAAGAGAATTTGGCTCTGCGACGACGCACCGACGATGCCAGCAAGACCGAAAGTTGTTAGCATCTGGGTGAAGGCAGGTGAGGGAGAAACCAATCCAAGACCGACTAAACCGGACATGCCGACGCTTGTAGCCAACGCGGACTTGAGTTTTGCTATACGAGGATCAATGGGGGCTACTGCGACAGATTCAACTGGCTTGGACTGTTCTTTTGGTTTTGGTGGAGAAGTGATTACTTTGGGGGGTGGCGGAGGCCACATCATTTCACCCTAAAAGAGGGAAAGCAAACAGACGAATTTAATTGGTCTTAAAACATAAGTATTAAGGAAATTTAAGTAAGTGAAGTTCCGTGAGAATAGCCGAATTTCACTTTGCTAATAGCAAGCGCTTGGTGCTGAACACTTGAGAAGCTTGAAACTACGTAGAAAAAAGACGTATAGAATAAAAAAATTATGAAATTTTCAAGGAAATACGATATGGATACCAACGCTCTGATATGCTTTATGCCATTTCAAAGTTCCTTCGAAAATTTTTACTTTATCTTTGATCACGAGATGGATGAACTTAAGCAAAAAAGGATTCAAACAGTTTACTGAATCTTCCAAGTTTTTGTATTGTGAACTGCATTCGACCATCTGTACCAGACTCCAAGTGTTTCCAAGTAACGAATCAGAAAACCAAATTTTGACTTAATGATACATTTTTGTTATTGAATTGTTTGAATAATGGGGTAATTGATGATCGATTGATCAGGGGAAGATGTCAAGGTTATCATTGCCGATTATCACGGGATACTTGCAGAGCAAGAATCAATAAAGGGGTGCATTTTAGTAGAAATTTTTTAAATGATTTCAAGTTTAGGTTTGACCTTGAAGGAAAATTAATTTGATTTTAAGAGGAGATTTCGCAGAAGTTCAGTTTTTCTTGATTTTAGACAGGGGGAGGGGGTAATTTTACTGACACCCAGACGGTCGGGTTACTAAATGAAACTTATTATCCCCTGGATAATTTTTATTGAATCTGCTATATCGAGGATCCCGAATTCCAGCCGAAAGAATGACCCTATGTCAGGCATTTCCACTTGCGCCTCCATTTACTCCAGTAAAACGTTTTAAAATTGGCAAAAAATTGTAAGTATTTCTCTACTTATCTAAATGCATTAAAATAGGAAAAGGATGAATGGTGGTGGAACAAATTGTTCGTCTCGCCACCACTCATTGGCTAAAAAATAGAAATTGAGCAGAGAAAATACAATTCAACGAATTCCATAACTTATGTTTTTAAAATATGCAGTTTGCTTAAATTGTAAAGTCAATTTTTTAATAAATTTTTTGCAGTGGCCTAGGCTTTCACCTCACTCTGGTTTCCGCTTACCTTCAGGAGAACAGTGCTTCCTCGAACAACTTCGTCTTCCATATCGTAGTTAATCACACCTTTGGCATCTGAAAGAAGAAAAAGTAGCCATTGATATTTATCGACAGATGCAGCAGCATGGTAATGGAGCTTTGAATGGGAAGTGAATCGAATATTTTAGTGACCCGAACAGAATTCAGAGAGATTAGTGGACGTCGTGGTGGTGCCTTTGTTTGCAATCTCCTCTCATTGCTACTTTATTGGCTAAACAGTTAGCCCATCACATACCGTATTTTCAATATAATGCAAATAAGAGCGATACAGACTATGAATTATAGGCCTGGTCTTTTCATCGTTCCGGATTTGAGCAAATTCAGTCATAGAGCTGCCTCTTGGAAAACCTAGCGCACAACACCAATGACAGCCTTACTATAAAATCCTGTGTCGAATTAAACCCAAATCTCAAAGGATACGAAGGTAAGGGTAACTCGACAGTACGACTTATTTCTCAAGCTCTAAGTTAACGTCTCAATGGCTATCACGTGCGTTTATTGGATAGGGACAAGAACAATTAGACATCCGATTTGACCAATAAATGTCCAGGTATTTCCCACTTACACTAAGCTTAATTGGAACTGTTTATCATCCATCCATTCGCCATTTATTTTTCTTATTGAACTCATTTCGTTATGTTATTATTTAATACTGCTGGAGTTTGTCTCATTCAATGATTTGAAATCTGCGGTCTGGATACATTCGTGCTGACCAAACAAGCCGAACAAAAAATAGAAGACAACTAACTGTCTCGTCGAGTTTTAGCATAAATAGACATTTTAACCGGGCTCATGTACATCAAAAGGAGCACTGTATTCAGTAGGTAGGGATTCACCTGATGTGTCTAAGTGGTTCACATTGTTTAACCCACCCCATCCCCACCCCCCTCCCCCACCCTTCTTCCTATCTCTTTATTATCTACGCTTCTTTTTGTTTTATGCAAATAATGCTTATTCGGCGTGATGATCGGACAACGGAATGCGTCACTATTGATCCCCAATAAGGTTTTTTATTTGCCGCAATAATTACATCTGGTTACTGTAGTAATAAAATGTGATCTGAACGTGACATGGGTCCTCTGGGTTTTCGGGCTCATTCATGCGTTCCTCAATCTGCTGGATTGAATTTCCCATAGTCGTAGCCATCTTTACCTTCAAATTGGCGAAAACATTAACTGCCTATCCTCAGTTAACGCACGTTATAATTGCCTCTTGATTAGCTATTACTATTAGGAAAACGGAGAATGTAGGAATGTAGGAAGGAATTTCAATTTTGTTGCCTTCAAGTGGTGTTGATTCAAAAATACGCCCCTAAAAGTGAGGAGATTAAAGGGCGAATGGGTGCATGTGGTGAAATGACCCTGGATGCTCAAAGCTACCAAAGTTCGCAACCTGTTAAGCAATCCAATGTAGTTATTCATTCATCTCCTCCATGTGGCTGTGCCAAATTAGCATTTTTGCCTCTCATTGTCCACAACAAGACAAAGGCTGTAGGCATTTCCAAACTGGAAAATCAATTGAAATCGATCAATAGTAAGTACACTAAATGGTAAATAGGGGAAGGCGCTTTGAAAAATGTATTGCGTGCTCTGTTTTTGGACTCGGAGTGTGTGATAGTTATTCAGAAGGTAGTTCACTCTCCTAGATTTCAATTTCATTATGCGTCACTTGGATTATTGAGTTAATTCCTATCTTCGATATCTGACGGCAACTGACCAATTACCTAAGTGTAATGGATAATCTAACCACTTCATTTCATTTCAGAAAGCAGAATAATCTGACATAGTGGATCTGAGTAAGCGAAAACTGTAGCCTAACAGAGGTCAATAAGCTTAATTATTGGCCTTTGTATAAGGGAATCAGAGCTTTGGAAAAGTATCCATATGAAAGCGTCTCAAAAGTTGGACCATTTACTAGAATTACTTTAATACAATAAATAATATTATAGTGATGGTAAGGTTGATCATTCATATTTACTGACACAGATTGATGTTTGCAGCAGTTCACCATCTCTCCCTTCTGGGTTATCTTCATAGCGCGATTTCAAAGTATTTCGTTAACTATATTGTTAACTTATGGGGTGTGTGATAGACTTGCCTCCACGTATACTCTTACCCCAAAAAAGTCTTTAAACCGCCAGTTCACTTTTGACTTCAAACTACCATGACTCCACTGCATGTCATATTCCACCACTTCCACAGTGCTCACCTGTCTCTCTTACATCTGTGAATCACTCTTCTGTTCACCCTCTCGACGTTTATTGACTTTGATATTCCTCCCCTCTGTGAGGCCAGAAGTCAACTAAAGGGCTAATGATAGCTATCATAAAGCCTATCATTTGTTATAAATAAATAAATATTGTCAAATTATTAACTAGTATTGAAATTTTAATTGAATGAATTTATCATATCATTTACGACTTAATGAAAATAAACTTCTCGTGAAAATAATAAAGTGCAACTTCTAAGCTATTGCCATTTAAATGAGAAGATGGAAACTTTTNACGCTGCTAAATATGTCCCCCTTTTATATTATTGTTCCGGGGTGTGGGATGGCAAAAAAGTCTATTAACTGGCAGTTGACCTCTGACTTCAAACTTCCATAACCCCACTGTATGTCATATTCGACCCCTTCCACAGTACTCATCTAGCCTTTTCTCTGCCCTTGTGTCTGTCTGTTACATCTGTGAATCGCTCTTCTTTCCCCCCTGTCGGATTTTTCTCCCTTTAATGTTCCTCCCTTCTGTGAAGCCCGAAGTCAACTAAAGGGCTAATGATAACTATCAAAATGCCTGCCATTTGAAATAAATAAATATTATTGTTCCAAATTCGGGAGAGCAAACTTTTCACTTGACTTTGAATATCAGACATAAATATCAAACAGGCCGGTTTTTCTCGAAGGGAATGACGAGGCGAGGGAAAGGAAAGAAAACTCTCGTGGACATCTCGTCAGCTTACAAAAATATGGAAGCTAAGCGATTCTGCTCAATTCATAACACGGCTACGCGAATTCTCAAATAAATGGGCATTTCTTAATTGGCAAACAGTAATGAGTAACGAAAAAAGGCACCGTTATCACAAAACACGATTTGCGTATTACACACAAATAAAGAGGATTCATGGTATGCGTACAACATGTTGTAATAAACTTTTTTAAACTTTAGACTGAGTTATTTTTTTGAGATGGGCTGAATCGATTTCATTAGCGCTTCCTGTAAAGCATTGCTCAGGGCTCTGAAGCAGTTGTAAATACCCGTGTGGCGCCACACCCAATTTTATAAACTAAAACAATTCCAAATGTACACTTTCTTTTGTGCCTCCCAAAAATAATAATAATAATAAAAAAAACAACGCCCGATTTAAAAAGAAATAACAAATATAGGCAAATCCTTGTGAATGCAATTATTAGCCAACTGCATAGATTTAGAGCTAAGCTTCAAAAGAAAAGCACGAATGCTAGGAGTTGGCACAATTAACGAACCTCAAAAAAGAAGTAGCAAATGGCACACAAACAATAGCCGAGATTCTATTCTATATATTTTTCTCAGTTCTGAGTCCCAAAATCACGCTCCCACCTCTTTTCTTTGAATGTAAGTGGGACAAAGATGCACCCCAGCCACCCTCCCTTGCTCAATGACTGTCTGCCATTTTTTTGAGTGGAGAGGAGGGGGGGGGGCGGGGGGGGGGGCGGTTGCTCTATAAACCGACAAAATAACGCAAAAAAATCAACACCTGCGACAATCCGCCATTTAATTAATTGGGCCCAACGTCCAATAAATGAAGAAAGACGCTAGCAACATGCAGTGCAATAGAAAAGGATTGACCAAAAGTTAGGAGAAGAGGGATAATAGCAATTAGGCGAATGATTGCTAGAGGAGGAACAAAGAGAAGAAAAGCGTTTGCGCTATTTTTTGCTACAACAGTTGGGAGTAAACAAGACATACTGCGACCGTGGTTTGACAGATGAAAGAAGCGTATTTCGAAGCGGGGTGTTGCAGAGAAAACTGTTCTATTGAACTAAAAGCAGCATTTTAACATGCCGAATAGACGGGTGGTAAAGACCGTGAGGCGTCCAAATAGTTGAGAAAGGGCTCAGTATAAAAAAGACCTCTGAGGCAAAATTACCACCTCAGGGAGAGAGGGGGGGGGGAAAGTTGAACAAAAAGGACAACACAACTTCATTAGCCTAAACCCTGCAACATAGACCAATTTAACCCCCCTCCCCAAAGCCTTTTACTACTATTTCTGCACTAAAAGGTATTTCAGTAGGCGAAAAGTTGAAGGGAACACAAGCAGTAATTCTCATGCCGCCCTCAAAGCTCAATATACACCACAGTATAAATTAAATCTA